TTGGGGTTTATTTTGCTGTTGTTCTCTATTTCATATATCTTTGCTTTAATCTTTATTATTCCCTTCCTCCTGATAGCTTGGGATTTAGTTTGTTCTTCTTTTTCTAGTTCTTTGTGTTGCAAAGTTAGGTCGTTGATTTACGATCTTTCTTGTTTTTTTTTTTTTAATGTAAGCATTTATGGCTATAAATTCCCCCTCAGCATTGCTTTCACTGTGTACCATAAGTTTTGGTATATTATGTTTTTGTTTTCATTCATATTAAGTACTTTCTATGCTTCCTTTATGATTTCTTCTTTGATCCATCAGTTAAGAATAAGTTGCTTAATTTCTACAAATTGGTGAGTTTTCCAGTTGTATTTCTGTTACCGACGTCTTCTTCCCATTGTGGTCAGAGACGACACTTTGTATGATATCTGCTTTTTAAAGTCTATTGAGGCTAATTTGTGGTCTACTCTACTGTTTATTCTGGAAAATGTCCCATGTGCACTGGAGAAGAATGTTTATGCTATTGTTGTATTCTATATATGTCTATTATATCTAGTTGGTTTACTATGCTGTTTGCATCCTCTGTACTTTATTTATTTTCTGTCTGGTTGTTCTGTCCATTATTGAGAGTAGGGTGCTGAAGTGTTCAACTATTATTATAGAACTATCCATTTCTTTTTTTCAATTCTGTCAGTTTCTGTTCCATATCTGTCGATGGTTTGACATCGGATGTGTGAATGTTTATAACTATCATATGCTCTTGGTATATTGAAACTTTTATTAATATATAATATCCCCCTTTGTTGCATAACTTTTTAAGTTATGTCTCATAACTTTTCTTCACATTCCCCTGCTCTCTATTGGTTACTATTGTATGGGATAACTTTCTCTGTCCCTTCACTTTCTATCTAACTTTTCCATGTTTACTTTGTATCAACATTGAAAATTCTGGTATTAATTATGACAGTTAAGCAGTTGATTCTTCTGGGTTTGCAGGGAGACGATATTATCAGTTGAAAATACCACGCATGGCAGACATGCTGGGTGTGAGTGTCTTGTGACACTAATAGCTCCAGTGTTTCACATTATGCATAATCCTGGCAGTTGCTTTCCAGATAGATAGGCGAGTCTGCCTGTATGTAAGACACAGAGAGCCTGGGAGGTTGCTTGTGGTGAACCATTCCTTTCACTGTTCCTTACCATTGCCTTCTTCAACAGAGACAGCTTTGACTCCATTTTCCTGCATGTGAAGAATGTGTTTAACATATTCCTCTACCCTACTAAGGGAACTAAAATGTTTTATCTTTGAGATCTTTTAAGTTTCACTGAGAATTTTCCAATAAGCTGTCAAATTTCAAGTCTCCCATCTATCTTTTTTGTCTCATTTCACATGTGCCTGCGTCTGCTGCATAGAGATTTTATTTTAGTTTCATATTAATCTTCTGCTGCTGTCTGCAGTTTGATCTTAAGCAGAGTATTAACGGAAACAGAGAACATTTTAAAAGATGCATGATCCTTGTATGTACTGAACAGCACGCATTACAACCACTGATGGGACACTCTCATGAAATAGATTCATAAGTGATATACTCTGATGAATCCTCAGTCATTAGATTCCTCTGAGATACAAGGCACTTTGACATCATGGACAGCTAATGACACAGATTCAAACATGGTGGTAGTCCTATTTCTAAGATGATCGAAAAAAAAATTCTAATTTAACCCAGTGGATTTCAGTCTGAGACAGTTTATCAATAAACAGACATGGAAACCTGCTAAAAGAGGTTACTCTCAAAATTTAGGCCTGTGCCTAGAGTGGGTTAAAGGGGGATGGCATGATGGAGAAAAGGAAGTGACAATAGGAAAGTAAAATTTAGTTCTGTGGCTGGGGAGTGTCAAGATAAAGAATTGCAGAACCTAACTTAGCTTCATCTGTAATTCTTACCTCCCCAATCCTGCTCAGAGAAAATAATCAGTCCCTGATTTCTAACTTGGTCAAAAAAGTTTTCTAACTAATGCAATGAATTCAGAAATAAAAGAGAAAATTAAACAGTGGAAGAAATTCGTCCATTCTAGCCACAGAAGTCTAGTTTCATGATCGGGTCATATTTTAAAATATATTTGCCGATTATGTCTGTCTGTGTCTCTCACTGCTTTCATTCTTTTCTGGCTCTCGTTCCGTTCTAATCTTCTTGCAAGCTCTTTCTTCTTTTTTTCTAAGTAAGTTTTTTTATTTAACTCTACATCCTAAACAACTTTAAATAAATAGTCTGGAAGTCAAGTGAAGAAACTTGACTTTTTCTCTTGCTGACATATTTTGTCAATAAATGGATATAACACGCACATTCTCAACATTTAAAAAATAATGTATTTTTTTTGAGAGTTTAAATGAATGACAAATGGCCCAAAAGCTGTTCCTGGAGCAAACAGTGACTCATGACCCTACGTAGGCATTTCTTCATTGTATTTTGAAAACATGCTTTTTAAGTAATTCTGTCCTATTATCTAGGTACGGACATTGAAACTGAGAAAAATTCCGACTAAAATAACTGCCTGGTCATGATTAAGATTAAGTTGAAATAGAACAAATAAAGGGATTGGCTAGAAGAAAAGAGAAACTGCCTTAAACTCAGTCAGCATAACATTTTAGATGGTATATTTTTAAATTATTATAAAATTTAAAATTTATGTTAAAATATACATTGTCATACCCATGACTGAAAATAGAGTGATTGGAGGAGCATGCAGAATAGGAGAAAAGTAGGGAACATCTTTAGTCTAATAAAGAAAAGCTGCCTGAGTAATCGGGCCTTTCTTAGGAAGAGCTGTGCTTTAGGCAGTGTTTGTTTTTATCCATCCCTTTGGCTTCCTTCTGTCCTTGGCACCTGGTATCCTCATATAACCCCTTGGGTTTCCAGAGTCCCTACTTTGCTAGATCAGAGCACTATATTGTTCATATTTTCGCTATTTCTTACCATTGAAATTTGGCCACCTATACTTATTTCTTAGGGCTCTGGTTTTTGATTAGTTTGAAAACAGATGGTGTCTGAGTCAGGATGGAGCTCACTGAAAAAGGAGATTTAGCATAGGCTATGGTAAGTGGAATGGAAAGGGGAGTCTTACAGAATTAGAACACAGGCCTAATGGCTTCTTGTTTTTGCTTCTTTCTAACTTTTTTTTTTTTTTTCCTGTCCTCTGCTTCCTTTCTCAGGCTGTTAAACCCTCATGAGAGCATCCGGTTGTCTTCTTTTTGTCTTTATCCTTGCTTCTCGCCTTGTTAATTGGCCTCATTGCTGCTCAGTTTTTTAAGCAAAGCCCCTCGATTGACCCCACCCATTTTTTTTCATCCTAGGCCACTGGTTGCCAGTGAGCCACAGATTCCCTCCCTCGGGTGCTCACTCCTCTCCTCCCAAAATGTGGCTGTAGCTGACAGGAACCCCTTAGATCGGAGACTCTTGGCAGGGCAGGATTTCCTTTCAAGAGGCTGCGGGCAGGAAGGCAATGCTTGTATCTGGAACAGATGTTTTGGGGCATTTGGGAGTCTTGAAGCTCTTCAGACTCTAGGGCTGCCCTGCTGAGTGATTGGCGAGTTTGGCAGCACATCTTGCTTCCTTTAACTAATCTAGTGTGTTTGAGAGACACCAAGGGGATAGAAGGAATCTCAGAATGCTTTCCTCAGCATCGGTAGCACATTGTAAATCTCTCTTGAGAATACTTTCCCCCTTCTGCAATGCTGATTACATTCCGCCTACATTCCAAGACGTCTTGGCTTCCTGGTGAGGTGTAGGTGAACACTGACCAACATGCATGCCTCTTGGTGTGTTTTATTGATTACATAACTTATCTAAAAAGATAGGTCAGCTCTGGCGAGTTTTCCCTAACACATTTTTTTTTTTTCTTCTCAGAGTTGGCAGCTGGAAGACTTGTTCGCATGTGTGTTGACGTGAGTGGCCTTGGGAAGAAAAGCAATCCCATCCCCTGCTTAAGGAGCTGGAGAAGAATAAACAAGGATGAGTGTAAGGAGGTCAGTTGTCTGTCCCTTGGTGTCACATCTTCCTCTGAAAAGCCCCAAGCAGCTGATTACTCCCGATTACCCAGATCCAGTCCCTTTCGCTGTCCCCCTCCTTCCAGAACACACACACACACACACACACAGACACGCGCGCAACTTCCCTTTCACTCATGGAATTTGTTGTCCATGATCAAATCTTACTTCTTTTTCGTACATCTAGCTTTGCACGTCCATTTCCAGCGTGCAGAGCCAGCCTCTCTGCCTTTTCCTATCTGTCACCTCAGACCGTGTGAGTTTCAGGATGTTTATTTCCTTGGGCCGCGCGCGCGCTCACACGCGCACACACACACACACGCGCGCACACACACGCGCACCCCGGCTAGCTCCGTCTCTCTCCGTTTCTTTGCATCGCTGTCCCTCTCTCTCTCCTCTGACGCGCAAGACATGCACCGGGGCTCTCGCAACACGCGCACGTAAATGTCTGGGAGGGCTCCTGAGTTCAATGTCACGCTGGGCAGAAGTGGAGCACGAGTGGAGGGAGAGCGCGCGCGGTGCGGGCGGGGAGACGCCGTCTCCGGCCGGCAGAGGGCGGCCGAGGGGCGGCGCTGGCGCGCGAGGGCTGCGCGGAGCCTCGCGGAGCCTCGCGGAGCCTCGCCTCGCTCGAGCAGCCCCAGCCCCAGCCCAGCCCAGCCCAGCCCAGCCCCAGCCCCAGCCCCAGCCCCAGCCGCGGCGGAGCCCGGAGCGCAGCCACTGAGGGCAGCGGCGGCGGCGGGAGCGAGGCGCGCAGGGAGCCGCGGCGCGGGCGGGAAGCAGGAGCCGCCGCCGCCGCCGCCGCCGCCGCCGCCGCCGCCGCGACGGGCAGCGGGGCTCGCCGGCAGCCGGCCCGGGCCCCCGCCCGCGCCCCCGCCGGCGCCCGCGCCCGCGCCCCCCGGGCTCCGTGCCCCCGGCGCCGGGCGGCCGGCGAGTCTGGAGCCCGCGCCGTCGCCGGCCGCGTCGCCCGGGCATGGAAGCAGGCGGCAAGCCCAACTCCTCGTCCAACAGCCGGGACGATGGCAGCAGCGCCTTCCCCGGCAAGGCGCCCGCGACGGGCGCGGGGCCGGCGGCGGCCGAGAAGCGCCTGGGCACCCCCCCGGGCGGCGGCGGCGCGGGCGCGAAGGAGCACGGCAACTCGGTGTGCTTCAAGGTGGACGGCGGCGGCGGCGGCGGCGGCGGCGGCGCGGGCGAGGAGCCGGCCGCGGGCTTCGAGGACGCCGAGGGCCCCCGGCGGCAGTACGGCTTCATGCAGAGGCAGTTCACCTCCATGCTGCAGCCCGGGGTCAACAAATTTTCGCTCCGCATGTTCGGGAGCCAGAAGGCGGTGGAGAAGGAGCAGGAAAGGGTTAAAACTGCAGGCTTCTGGATTATCCACCCTTACAGCGATTTCAGGTGAGCGCTCCCCGGGGGGGCGGGGGGGCGCCCCACTCTCCCTCCCTCCGTCCCTCCCGGGGCGCGCCCTCCAGCAGCGCTTCCCCGCGCCTGGGAGGGGGCGCGCCGGGGCCCCGGAGGGAGGGCTCGCCGGGCGGGCCGGGGGTGGCGCTGCCGGGCGGCTGGCGCTCGGGCTCCTGGCCCCCCTCTTCAACTAGTTTCCGCCGAGGAGGAGGAGGAGGAGGAGGAGGAGGAGGGGAGGAGGGTGGTGGTGGCTGGGGGCGCGGTGGTGAGGAGCTCCTGTTGCCCGCAATCCCAGGGAGGCTCGCCTCCTGCGCCTCGGGAACTTTGGGGACACACCGGGGAAGAAGTCCACGGTGACCTCCGGATGGCAGGAGGCGAAGTCGCCGTGGTGCCGGGAAAACTTTTACTTCGGAGATGGGGAGTGTAAGGAAGCGGCCAGAGACTCGTCTTTGGGGTGACACCCGTCCTGGCGCCGCTCCCCGGGGAAGCGGGTCCTGGGGAAGCGGGAGGAAGAGGCGCTCCCGGGCTTGCGGGGAGAGGGTGGGGCGCGCGGAGACAGTGACTCACAGGTCCTGGCCGTTCCAGCCGCTTCTCGCCCCTGGGGAATGTTAATCTTTTTTTTTTATTATTATTTATTTATTTATTTATTTTTCCATCTGCTTATAGGCACTGGGCATCCTCAGTGCATCTCTTCAGAATAGTGGCTGGCAGCCTGCGGAAGGGCAGTGTGCGCTGGGATAGTCCCCGACTTGAGATCTGAGCGGAGCAGGCGCGGCCAGGTTGGGCAGCAGCGGGGCAGGAAGCTTGGAGTTCCCGCAACGGAGGCGGGGGTGGGGGTGGGGCGAGGGTAGTTTCCAGAGCCCCCTCCCCGAAGCCCAGGGACACCCTTTCCTTGACCTTGACTGCAGGTCTGTTTCACAAATCTCTTTCCCCGTCTCCCCGACTGGGGAGCAGGGGCAGAGAGAGCTGTCAGCTAGCTGTCAGGGAGACTGCTTCTTCGGAGCATTAGAATTAAGACGTTTCCCCGTCTTATTCGTCGCCCAAGTATTCATTCGGTTATCAGCACGTTTAGGGATTATCAAATGAAGGTCGCGAAGGAGATCCTCCTATTAGCGTGCGCACGCCCTGCAGCTCCCGAGTAAGGCTGGGCTTCCCGTGTGCAAGGAGAAAACTCAGGGTGGCATTTATTATTTATTTATTTGTTTATTTATTTATTACTTCACTGAACTCTTTCGAAGAGGAACCGGTGGAAGGAGTCTGTGTGCAAACTGAGCAGTTTCAATAGGCGTCTACGAAACAGCACACAGACAGGGCCATAAAAAGCAGCGTTGCTTTGAGTTTCGGTTAAGGGACCTTGCGGTCAACTCTTTGCCTTGGCAGGAGCTGTCCACAGTTCTGAAGGACTTCAGCTGTGGGAAACGCAAACTCCTGCCACCCAAAGCTTTGGAGTTACTGCCTTCACCCTCTTTGGAGTTTATGATATTGTCTCAGAAATCAGTAGCCCCTATTATTTATGCATAGGACGAACGGAATCTAGGAAGTGCATCATTTTAAGGTTCTTATTTGAAAAAAAACAAAAACAAAAACAAAACATGTTACAAAGTCCAAAGGAAGACTTGTAAAATCTCATGACATTTATAGTCTATGGCAAATTAAGAGTTGGACCTGCAATGATGTTTACATTGGGAGGATCTACTAAATAATCAACCATGTTTCCTTCATCAGGAAGATGAAGCGAACCTACAAATGACCTTGTTTTAAGGTTCATGTTCTTTAGAATTTTAAAGGTTAAAATCAAATGTGGAATATTATCTCTACCTCAGTCCTTGGTGGAAATATGTTGCAACCTATTACCTTTTCATCATGAAAAAAGTTTACACGGAAACACCCTTTAATAACAAAAGCAAGCATGGTGTTTCCAGAAATATATGTAGTCCGCTATTCACATGCGAATAAAATGCTACACTTTATTTAATTTTACTTCAAGTAAGTGAGCGTTCTTGATTACTTCTGATACTTTTGATTCCTGAACATGTGGAAAGAGATTACACTTTTCAAAATGGTGACACATACTAAATAATTAAGCTTTCACACCTACTGGATAAAAACATTCCTGCCTTTCAGGAATTGGAATGATGTACCGGTATCTTTTGAATTAATGAAATTCATAAAATTAGAGATTCTCCACAGTTTCTCAAGTGAGTCATCTGAGACAAAATATGTCTTTTAAAAACAACAAAAAATGTCACTAAATAAGAAATTAACTGAAATCAGACGATGGTTTATTTTTATCATACGTTTCAAAGAAATAAGAAATGATGAAGAAGTGAGGTAATACTCCAAGCAAACTCAAGTGTGGAGTAGTTTGCAATATTTGGTTTTCTCACGCATAACTGGAAAAAGGAAATGACAGACATAAACTATTACTAGGTTTAGGTTTTAGCTGGAAGGTATCTGAAAAAGGTAGATTTTAAAACTCATAATTACAATATATACCAGTTTTCTAAAACAAAAAAAAAACTAAGAAGTAATCATTTGCCTATTTATTTGCATATATGAAGATATTTAAATATTATTATATCATTAATATTTTATATGATCTTACTTAATACCAATAGAAGATTTCTCAAAACCTGTTACATGTTAGGATAATGTAATGACAAAAGCAGAAACAAGAAAGACAAAATTCTGGTAGTACTTTTTTTCCCTAAAGGAAAAGCAATATGGGAATAATCTCTAACATAATAGAAATGTTATGGTTACGATCTGTTCACCTCAGGCTCCTTCCTGCAGAAGACACTTTAAGGGCAGGGTTTTGCCATGATTCCTATAACACCTAACTTAGGTTCAGTTATAATTTAGCCACAGAGAAAGTGACACTTAAGAATAAATTTCCATGGAGGGTTGTGGGAATACTGGAAATAAAGGGTTTTTCTTTGTTGTTGTTGTTGTTTTTGATACTTGATACTTCCATAAACTTTAGCATGGCCAAGGAAATTTACTCACTCTGCTTTTTGGTCAGCCCCGTACCGCTGAATGTAGTGTAAGCCTGCTACTCCAGGGCATGTCAGGATTTTGACACTGTGCTGATGATCTAGTATCCCATTTCCGGATGACTTCCAAGGCAAGTCCCTTTCCACTTCCCTCTAGTGGCCGGGCTGTGCTCCCACTGCGACTCCTGCAGAACTAGCTAGGTGCTTCTCTCAGCCACCAGCCCCAGAGAGCTATTGCTGTGTCTGGCAGGTAGTTTTCTTCTACCTCCGGTGTAAGTAGGGCAGAAGCTCTGTATTTCCCTTCTTTCTCAGGGGAGGATGATGTTAGAAATCTTCAGGGACTAAAGAAGAGTCAACTATCAAATACGCCCAATACTGTTAGAAATAACTGGGTAGCAGAAAGGGAAATGTGATGATGGAAGCAGAGATCACAGTGATGTCCCAGGAGCCAAGGAAGGCATTCAGTGTCTGAAAGGTGGAAAAGGCATGGAGTGGATTCTCCCCTAGAGCCTACCGAAGGAACATAGCCTTTGATTTTATTCTCAAAAGACTTGATTTCGTTTTGTTTTTTAGAAATAATTGGGTGGGAGCTAGAGAGTTTAGTAAATAAATTCTTATGCTTTTGTTTATATCATGGTATGTCATCACCCAAACTAGAAAAAAAATAGTTCCTTAAAAAGTAAAATTACACTGAGCTTTGTGTAGTGAGGCTATGGTCTCAGTCTTACTGAGTTTCATGTGCACAACACACACACACAAACAAGTAAGTATCTGATTAGGAGGTTAAGTGCGATTTTCTGAGATCACTAACAGTGATTATATATTTGTTAGCTAAAATTTTACTTTATATTTATTTAATAAAAAATTGACACTGACCTAGCATTGTGCTCTCAGAGTCAATCCATAGTTATGATACTATCATTCAAGTGGATTGGAAGAGTAGAGTACTTTTGCAGATGGTTTTTATTATGTGTATAATTTACCTTGAAAGAATTTATCACCGGACTCTTTGTCATTTCAAGGATTCTGATATTATTTTTCTGGATCAAGCTTATATAAGGGCTCTTTTATAGATAATGCTCCCATTTCATATATATCGTCAGCCAATATCTTGCCTCTGGTAAAGGAGGAGATTTGATATTTTGACTTGTTATTTCTTTCACTGCTTTTCGTCAATTAGTGTGAATAACTGTACGAAAAGCTTATTGTGTCATAAGTACATAAGGACTCTAGAGACAGGAGTCACTTCCTGAAGATGTTGCCATTTCTGGTCTTGCATTCCTGCCTCGTGCTGCAGCCATTAATAGTAGTGATGTCAGAGATCACTGATGTGTTCATTAGTGAAGGGAGGCTTCACCCATTTTCACACAGTAAGTTAGAGAGAAACCTTTGTTTCCAGGAGCTTCTCCTGAAAAAACAATTCAACCTTCTGGGCTTTAAGGACTAATTAGCCTACTGTTATGTATCTTTGTGCTGAATGCAGTCTGTACTCTCCCAGAAATGATCCTCTATTTGCTTTCCATATCAACATCCAAAATTTACCTTAGGAATTTATTTTCTATTAGGTGAACTTTTTAATAGCTTCTAAATTCAATTACGTTTTTCTTTTTAAAAATTATTTATTTATTTATTTATTTATTCATTCATTCATTCATTTATTCATTCATTCATTCGAGACACAGAGGCAGAGACACAGGCAGAGGGAGAAGCAGGATCCCCAGGGGGAGCCTGATGTGGGACTCGATCCCAGGATCCTGGGATCATGAGCTAAAGGCAGATGCTGAACCCACTGAGCCACGCAGGTTCCCCTCAATTAAGTTTCCCTTAGTGGCTTTAGGCCTGATTAAAGTGATATTATTTGAAATATTTGGAAGTATGAATTTATTCTATTACTTTTTCTTAGTATACATGTAAGTTATAAAGCTAAATTTTATTTCACTATTTCATTACATTTGGTAGATATGACAGTGATACTGTACTACTAAAATGTTACAAGAGGTTTTG